GCTGCTCGTGTTATTACCAGGACACCGCGAAACTGCCACTTAACCCCAGTTTTAAAGAAACTACATTGGCTTCCTGTGCACATCAGAGTCGAGTACAAACTCCTTACATATGTGTTTAAGGCGCTTCATGAACTGGCACCTACGTACATACGAAACATTCTAGACATTTATATCCTATCCAGACAACTTAGGTCCCAGAATGATTGCTTAGCACTTGTTGTACCGCGTAGTAGGACTGTGACTTATGGTAATCTTGCTATTATGACGGCAGCCCCTAAACTCTAGAATGCCCTACCTAGAACATTTAAAAGCTGTTAAACTCTAACAGTGTTTAAGAGAGCACTTAAAACTCACTTATTTAAGTGGTTTTATTTGGACTGATTATTTTTTAGGTTCGATTTTCTTTAACAATTCTAAAGTCTTAACTGCATTTTATTATTTATGTGGGCCATTTTAACTTTTTAAACTACATTTGATTTGAATTTGTGACTTGAGCAATATTGATGTTTTAATTTGTTTTTTTAAATATTGTAGCATTTTTTTGGTTATACTGTACAGTACTTTTGAACGTGTCAATGTGCATAAAAAAAGTGCTTAAGAAATTTGGTATATAATAATAATAATAAAGATACATAAATAGAAGAAAGAAAAAAGTTCATCATACTAAATTTGAATCCACAACGCTAGTTTCAATACAGTTGACATTATTTGTAGCCTTTTTTTAAGCGAATGAAATACATTATGAGGGTTCTACCTTACATCGACTAGTAAAGCTTCCAAAATTTAATGTACCATAGCAGTGCTTTGGAAATCATGTTACTTTAATGTACGAGCTATTCGTTTATATGCAGAGAATAAAACTTTGTCGATATTTCATTTAAATTTACGAGCACCTGTGTTGACAGCTTTGCAGAATTGCGCATCTCTTTGAAAAGATTTTATTACACAAAGCGCAAAAGAATTGAATTAATACAACATTCCATGCGCTTGTTAATCATGTTCCCACAATGAAACCTAATTGCGTTCAGATTTCAATTCTCAGCACTTCATTGTTATTTGGACTCTCTAATTAAATCTAAAAGGAAACCTGATCAAACTATTTTAATTAAGGAGGTTTAAAAATACAGAAAATTACAAACTGAAAGAAATATTTTATTTTTTCGATATAAATAAACAACAAAACAACAAAACAACACAACAAAGCCAACTTTTCGACAATTCATTTGATTAAAAGTTACATTAAATAAATTTCATAAAAAAGAAATAGCAACATTTCATTAATAAATTAGGTTTCATATCGACTCCAGATCTTATTTTAATGTCCAGACAACCAAAATGAGTTTAATGAGCATACAAATGTGCAACCTCATTGTGGCGAATTCGGTAGTACAATTTCTGTTTGCATGAGAAACTGCGCCTTCGGATCATCCATACATCAATATTAAATCAACAAACATGACTATAAGTAGCAGTCCTAATTTAACGGTATATTTCCGCATTGTAACGGATATTTTCATACAAATTTAATCTTTTTTATGAGATGATTATTTTTTCTGAACCACAGGCCTCGTGCACCGTGAAGCTTAAACGGTAAAAGTGTGTTTGCACAAGAAAATCTTATATTTGCTGTGTTCCGGATAGCAACTATATCACCGTGACCTAGCGCACACACGAGCTGATTACATGTTAAAATTCGTATACGAACTTTAGTGTTACCGTGGGGTTTTCCATTTAAAATCCTAATTTATGAACAATATTTGATGAGATTTACAACGATACTGTTAAAAAGGTAAATGAAACTGTAGAATGCTTGGTTTTTAGGCCGACGGCAAAAATATTTTAAGATATTTATTTAATGTAGCTTTAAATAACAGTTATATTTTCAGGTCCTTCGGGATAATTGATTCATGTGAAAAAGCTTTGTACGTTAAATAACCTCGTAAAGACAGTGCTAGGGGGCGAGACATTTCATTATGATTCATGAAGGTATTCAATCAAACGGAGTCTGAAATTTTCATAACATATTGTAGCTTTCATTGCTTCTAAGTGATTGACCATTTTCAAGATTTTCATTAATTAGTTCAATATTCGAACTGACTTACCATGAACAAGGTGTTTCTATCCAGCTTAACCTATAGTTTTGCTTGACCATGGGAATAACAACTCCAGTACATCAAGACAGAACTTTTTTTATTTGCGTAACAATCATACTGTGGATTGTAGACAATATAAAACAGTGAATTTTCGGTACTGAATGATGAAATTTAGTTAAATCATGATTTAAGGCGTATTTCTCAATGTTGCTTTTGTACAAACCGATAAATAAGTGTAAGTCCAATGTACCAAAATACATGTACTTTCTTCTGATATTGAAATATTGTGGGTTTCCCAGCTAATCCGGGAGTACAAGCGAACTTTAACTGTTACAACACTGACAATAAGAACAAAAATTAATGGTTGACTAATTATTGTTTAAGGCAGTTCATTGTTAATTTATGTAACGGTAAAAGTTTATCAGGGGATTTTAGTTATAAAAAAGCACACATTTGCTGAGGTCCTGAAAACAATTATGGTACTGGTAGTATTCTCTTATAGTGAATATATGTGCACCGATACCAAGAAAGTTATTCACGCAATTAGTGAAGATTATAAATGAACTCAGTATGGCATATTTAGCAGTACAAATAGTCAATATATAACTTAATTATAAACATCCTTATCCATTTCATTTACATAATCCCGTTAATCAAATAGTTCAAATAGTTATACATTTATTATAAGAATTAAGATCATCAAGGGAGAGTCGCATGTTAAGTCTAAATGACATGTTAATATTTGAGGTTTCGTTTTCATATAATTTCAAAATCAATCAGATGTCCGAGAAAGAAAAAAAAGGTTCTATTTGAATTTTTACATTCATGGGATAACACATGGTTTATGTAGCGCGACGGCAGACTAATACGACTCATAGTTTTATGATGATGAAGGTTTGTCTTAAAGCTGCATGCCTCCGGATGACCCAAAATATTTCAACAAAATTAAACTTGGAAAAACCATACTAAAACTTTGAGAAAAGTAAACAAATTAAAGATTCAATTGATAATTTATATCTTATGTGCAATTAATGACTGTATTTTGTAGTATTTATCACCATATTTCTAATGCGTTACTAGGGGCTATTTATGCATATTTTGACCTCTTTTTTGGTAATTTACGTGGATTTTAAGTGCTGATTGTAATGTGTCAAGTACTTTCTTTGTTCATTTCACAATATTTTACCTTTAAATACATTTTCAAAATTTTCATGAAAATTAGGATGAATCTGGAGGCGTGCTGCTTTAAAGAAAACCGAGCCAACGATTGAATAATACATTAGTTTCTGGCACCGATTTCATGACAATTGATTGGCAAGTACATAAGTTGAATATGTAAACATATATAGGATAGACAAGTTTTCAAAGAAACTAAAGAATAGCTAAAGAATGAGTAAAATGACTGTAAATATTTACTTGTATTGATATTTGTTTGATATACAAGCGGCTTTTCATACCAATCTTAAGGTTATTTACAGAAATTACATGAGGTCATCCAAGTTTTTTCTATCGTGTATGCAAAGGAAATTACACATGTATAACATTGATAGGAATAATGGAAAAGTGTTAACGTATTATGAATTTCACTTGTTCACTCATTCTGTACCCTTGAATGGGCATAATGTCGTCATGGAATTTCCCCCAAACTTCAGTTAGTGAAAGGTATCTTATTTCAGTCTTTGTGCATTTGGTTGGTGTGTTTTTAAAAAACATGTAGTAGATATATATTTTTTAAACTCCTTAAAAACTGGGTGGAAAATTATTTCTAGTCATGTAGATTTAGTCTGTATAATTGTAAGCATTTAGCAAATAGTGTACAGATTTTTTTTTAGACAAAATACTTTATAGGAAATAAATGATGGTAGAGCCTTATTTTTTGACACGTTATCAATTATTTTATCATCACATAAATGCGATATGCACTCATATGCATATAAACTATATAATTTTGAATGGTTTCTTTTCCAATCCAATAAAATCTGTTGTGTACCGGAATGAAACACTACTGGTTATGATGAAATTCCTGGTCACGGAAAGCCTAGTTACCATAGTTTTCCTGCAGCCACCAATCCACTTCGATCTGTTTGGCTACATAAAATAAAGACGGATGAAGGGCCATTCTTCAAGCTTAGTTTCACACCAGAGTGTCTTTCTAGAGTATTTAGTAAATGAAATTGCAAAGTGCAATCTCATTAATCAGTGAATATTAAAAATAAAATAGATTCATCGAAAAACAATCATTTCCTTAAATAATTGTATCTTTTGCTAATATTTTTCTTTTATAAAATTTATAGTTTAGACACAGTTTAATGGTTAAAGCATATTTAAAGACTATTTGTTACATGGAAGTCTGTGAAACTTCATCTACGTATTCCATTTATATTACACTGGTTATTATATCACTCAAAAGATAAAACATAACCATGTTATACTGTTATATACAATCTGTCAATAACCTAACATGTGGGATTTTTTTCTCTCCTGCAGGTCGGCAGGTATACATTTGTTTGTTCTTTTCACTTTGAGAATGAGAGAAGGATGCCTTGGAAAAATCTGGATTTTCTTATCGCAGGTATTTAAAACAAGGAACAGTTAAAAAGACAAAGTGCATTTTTACAAGCCACTTTCTTCAGCAGAAACATGATGAAAATTACCTAAAAGGTGACTGCCATTACCCTGCTGTAGCGTCCAATAACTGTGAACATCATCCTACAATTGTAGATCAAATAACCAATGCTCCTGGCCCAATATCGAATAAATGTACCAATGAAACTCAGGCTGAAGATGAAGTTATTAACATAACAAAATTTTGTGGATCATGTTTATTATTCACAAGAAAGACTAAATATGTAGCTAAAGAAAATAAGAAATTGAAATCTGCCATTGTATGATTCAAACACATTCAGCATGAATAACCTGAAACCAAGTTTGGTGCAATTTTTTACAGGGTTTTCTTCTAGAGAAGTATTTGATACTGTTTTTGAACTAGTCAACCCTGGAGAGAAAGGTAAAGATATTGTAATGTATGCAAAGAAACACACAGAAGATGAAGAAAACCGAGTAAAAAGAAGCAAGAAACTGACACCAGCTAATCAGTTTTTGTTATTTTTGTGCCGTGTGAGGGTCGGACTCTTTGAATTTGATTTAGCAAAAAGATTCAATGTTTCATTAGGCACTGTGAGTGTGATTATCATATCTTGGGCAAATTTTCTTTATTTACGCCTAGGTTCAATGAATATTTGGCCATCAAGGGAGCAGGTTGATAAAACAATGCCTGTTACTTTTAAAGAAAAATACCCAACAACTAGAGTCATAATTGACTGTACAGAATTGAAAACTGAAATGTCTTCCTCTCTTCTTTTGAAAAGTCAAATTTACAGCAATTATAAGAGTTCAAATACACTTAAAGGTTTAATAGGAATAGCCCCGTGTGTAGTAACATTTGTTAGTCAGTTGTACTTCGGAAGTATTTCTGACCGAGACATACTGAACGCAATGTTTTTTTTAGGTTTGAACTTTAATAATAGAGATATTGTGATGGCAAACAAGGGATCTGACATTCAAGACCTTTTAGATCAAAAAGACGTGAACTTAAACACTCCTCTATTCCTAGGACTGTATGATCAAAATGACAGAAAGTGATGTGAGACAAACTCAAAGCATTGCTGCACAGAGAATTCATGTTGAATAAATTAAGAACTTCCATATATTTGACAAGCTATTCTTATGTCATTTTTTGGTTTCATCAATCAGATTTGGACTGTGTATTGCTGACATTATTTCAGGATCCCATTATATCATACCCAGGCAATTATATGCATTTGAGTGTTTCTTACCCATACACTAACATCTGGACACCTGTTGTTTCACAATTTAAATGCCAGGCATTTTACTATCTCTCCCTCCACCCCAAGAAAAAAAATGTGATAAGTCATTGTTGAATTTGGCCAAGTTGTGTACAAAGTAATGTCAATATTATAAGTAAACATTTTTATTATATGGTTGCCATTTTGCGTTTATGACATTTTGTATTAACATTTCATATGTTGATTTTTAAGAAAATATTTGTATAACTGCATAATAATGTATGCTGGTATGACAGTGGCAAGCCATGAGGAACACTTAAACCCATCCGTGTACTAGTGCTTTGCACCTGGTTTCCCACTGTCATACACACACCAAACAGTGGGTTCATTTTGCCTAACTTTGATATCGTGTCATTAGTTACCTCAAGATTTCCCTTTACATCAATACCTCTTGCTTTATATAACGATGTTTTTTATTCCTTTTGACTGACTTCCGTACTTCGGCTTCAGCATTGATGCAGTCATAACAGGGCCAGAGCGAACCCCATCTGTCCTGCTTTTAACCAATTGAGCCGGTAGATCAGTACATGTTTGGTATCTTATTGAATATAACAAGGCATATATATAATAACAGTGTCTCCCTGCTCCAGCAACACAGGAACAATTCCCATCAGTCACAGCACCAGTAACACTAAGAAACATTGTTAAAGAGTGAGGTGTTTCACTTTTCGCCAGGGACTTGTAACATCTGGCCCTCATTAAACGACAATCACTTCTTTTACCAGCTTCCTGGTTGAAAACATAACCATCACAGTAAAAGGTAATTCACAATTAGAATCTGACTTAGATAAGAATCTCGAACCAAACTGGTTGTTTCATTGGTCAAGTTAAGAGTTACGCGAGTTTCAAACTGACGACTCTATAGTGTCTTATATAAATTAGATTAAAACAAGAATATTCAATAAAATCTAAACGGTAAGAGCTTTCAAATCTGCACGCAGATCTTATTTAATTATGGCAAAAATGGAAAGCACTTGAAATTCATAATAGCTTGTTATATTGTAAGATGCTTATGTTCATAAATAAGTAGCCCGAATTTTATTTTTAAGCAACTACATGAACAGAGATTTTCTGGCCATTTGGGTCGTGATAGCACCTTGGAGTGCATTAAACATAGATATTACTTTGATTTACTTTCTTAATGAGAGTAAATTGAAGGTAGCGTCCATACACCACCATCCTAGCCACTGGGGTTACGTTCATTGAACGCCGCCTTTCCTTGTTGATCTTGCTTATCATTTTTTTTACTGGCCTGGTATGGGTAATGATATAGAACTTTGGGTCCGCAAGTGTGAAGGTTGTGCGAGAAATAAACCAGAACCAGGAAAAGGGAAATCTCATTTGAAACAAATTCATATGGATATTCCAGCTGTAAATAATTTAGGTCCTCTCCCTTTAACAAATCAGAATAATGAGTATATTATAGTCCGTGGGTGAACTTCACTAAATGGACAATGGCCTGGCTCATGTTGCTGGATCGAGTGGCGGTTGCATTCTTTGAACGCCGTCTTTCCTTGTTGACTTTGTTTATCATATTTTTTCTTTTCAATAACATACAGCTAATAATGTAGCCGATATCTTTATTACTCAAGTTTTTTTTTTAAATGCTCAAATACATACAAATCAGGGGAGGGAATTTAAGTCTCCATTATTTTCAAATTTATGTTCCTTATAGATATTTAAAAGATTAGGACTTGTCATTATAACCCGAAATAGGACGGGATGATTGAACGCGCTAAAAAGACTAAAGTGTAGATGTTACCTCATTTTGTTTCCCTTACAGAAAATCAAACAGACTTGGATGACCATCTGTGTTATGTCTTAGCAGCATATCGTGCCACACAACATAAAAGTACAGATTGTACCCCAAATTTACTTATATGAGGAAGAGAGTTAGACTGTTATATTGATTTAATAGTGGTAGGACTTCCACTATATACTACAGAAGTAGAATGTCCAATTGAATATGTTCAATAGGTGAAAAAGTCGAGGCGTGAAAGACAGATAAAACCCTAAGAAATATTGTCAATGTAGGGTTTTAGGGGGCGTGAATTATTTTGCACTTATTGATTATCCCTCATGTACAGACTCAATCAAACCGAATTTGCAATGTTCATGTAATTTTGTTGTGATTCTTGCTTACGAGGGATAACTATGTTACCAGATTTTAAATTTAAGTACAAAGTGCTTATTGATTCAAGCTGGATGTTAATACACAAGGTTTAATTACATTTCATAATCTGTAAATAAGTGGGTTTAGCAATTATAAATTGCTTCAAGAAAATTAAATGAATATCAATGGTAGCAATCACAAAATCTCATATGACATGCGTGTACATGTTGTGTAGTTTTTGACAATAAAATAAATGAAATATGTATACGTGATTACTTATTTGTATATGTATAACCTAAGATAATAAAAACAGTTCCTAGAAGTAAGTAGTATATCAAAATATTACTAGTAAACTGTATCATTAAGGAATGTAAATACATTTCATGAAGTATAAATTGGTTGTTGATATTATTGACAATTATGATAGTCAAGTTTTTTCTCTTTTACCATATTTTCAATTTGTTTAAACAATCTACATAACGTTCAACATTATTGCTAAAGAGCGCCTACTATGGCAGCACCAGGGTATTTGCTGTCCTGTTCCTGATTGTAGGACGTACACCTTCTTCACTAATTACAACGTATTTGCGAATCATCGGTAAAAGAAACATAACAGTATGCGTACTGTGTACTTTTGCGTCAGCTGCAAGAAGGTAAATCTTAGGTTTGACACCAAAAGACATGATACTTCATGGGGATCGTTACATGTATGTCTCGAAGAGGAGGCAGTTAATCCGATGTACAAGAGCCCACGTCAGACGCTGAAGTATATTTATCAAGGGCGAGACGAGAGATTGAGAAGAGCCAAGGAAGAAAGGACGAAACAGGAGGAGGAAGAGTAAAGAGTAGCACAAGATCGAGAAGAGAAAAGGTTATGGGACAGAAAAGACAGGCAGTAGAGATCTAGGAATGAAATCTTGAATTTATGGTACGACCGTCAGGTAAAGCTAGTGATAACTGACATGTTGAACTCAGCCAATATTCATTTGATTTGTATATTTTTGTTGTTTATTTAAAATGAGATTTATTGTTGAAATTCTAATTACTTCATGAATTTAGTTAGGGTTAAAGCTACATTAAATAAATTTCATTAAAACAGAAATAGCGAAATTTCATTAATAAATTGGGTTTCAAATCGACTCCAGATCTTATTATGGTGTCAAGACAACCAAAATGAGTTTGATAAGCATAAATATCTGCGATATCATTGTGGCGAAATCGGAAGTACAATTTCTGTTTGCATACGAAACTCCGCTTTCGGATCATCCGTACATCAATATTAAATCAACAAACATGACTATAAGTAGCAGTCCTAATATAACGGTATATTTCCGCAGTGTAAATTTTTTATGAGATGATAAATCTGCTAAGTGCACCGTGAAGCTAAAACGGTTAAAGTGTATTTGCACATGAAAATTGCACATGAAAATCTCATATTTGCTGTGTTCCGTTTAGTAACTATAACACTGTGACGTAGCACATACACGAACTGATTATAGTCTTCATTTGCATGTTAGAATTCGTATACGAACTTAAGTGTTACCGTGGGGTTTTCCGTTTAAAATCGTAGTTTATTAACAATGTTTGATAAGATTTAATTTGCAACACTACTGTTCAAAAGGTTAATGAACTGTACAATGCTTAGGTTTTAGGCCGACGGCAAAGTATTTAAATATTTTTTACATATTTATTTAACGTAGCTTTAAATTACAAAATAAAAAATCTATATTTTTGTTCAGGTTCTTTTCTTTTTTTAATTTAGGTCACATTTTGGTACATGTATCAAATGATACATGTTTTTTTTTAAGTTTTTAAGTTTTAGTACATGATTTTTGTGTGACAAAGCGTTAACGTTTTAAGCAATTTAGATTCTTCTTTCAATCGCTACTTTTACTCCTTTATTATCGAACACTAAATCTAGGACCGTAATAATTAATTGTCAAATTCATACCATTCATTCGTCGTCCATTTTAGCTTCTATTCGTTCGTAAATCTGTAAAATTCAACATGATTGGCTCTTTCGATTTAGATTTACATTATATTTGTCGACTTGATAAATATAATTCGATTAGTTTAAAACTTTTTTCACTATTTTGACCAATTAATAAGTAAAGAAATCTTTGTCATGACTACCAAAAGTGTCAATCGCAACTACTCGGCCCTTTCCGCCAGCCTTCGGATAAGGACCTCGAACAAAATAATATGAATACACAGAACGGATGCGGTATCTCGGTCTAACCTACGCTAAGAAACTAATCATGTAAACAAATAGTAATTTAATGCTTGAAGTTGTTAAAAAGTTTATTTCAAATATTTGTTGATAATTGATAAATAAATTTGGTTATCGTGGTTGTGATTAATCTCACAGTGTTAAATTTATGAATCTTGTGTTGTACTTTCTTAAATAGAGTAAATATGAAGGTAGTGTCAATACACCACCATCCTAGCCACTGGTCAGGGAACCTGGATAATTGCCGTATAAAGTTATCTATATGAGCATGTGCTGTCCGTATTATCATTTGGCCATCTATATATCACTATCAAGAGCACCGCTGAGCACCACTTGACTCGAATTCAACCACTGATATAAAACCGGCACTTTTACATTTACATAAATCTATAATACATGTGTATGAATTTCTAATATAATTTCTTATTGTAAA